CTTCTTCTTCTTCTTCTTCTTCTTCTTCTTCTTCTTCTTCTTCTTCTTCTTCTTCTTCTTCTTCTTCTTCTTCTTCCAACTGAATCCTGTTATAACGAGAGGAAGGGACAGGTGCAAAAAATCCGTCCATTCACGTTTTAGGGGATCCAGTAATAAATTCAAGGGAAAAAATAAAATAAGCCTAATCTAAGAGTTTTGTGTTCTGTTTATTTCTTTTTGTTATCTCCTCTGATGATGCCCGCCGTGTTGTCCCCCACCCAACACACCTTGTGATGCCTTCCGTTTGCTTTCGCACATTGGGTACACATCACACCCTGCCCACGTCACAACTGATTCCCTCCATCCGTTATAGCACTGTGACCTTTCCATTCCTGCATCGGGGAAGTGAGAGGCATGATAGGCCTTGATAATCTAGACTAGGCTGGACTATCACGTGATGCGTTCTGCTTGTTTGCACATGCCACACCCTCCCCACTCCTTCACTCTGGCCTTCATTGTTGGCACACGTGAACCTTCAAATTTTTTTGTTTCGATAGATCACCAACAAGTTTCTCAACTGGCGAGGTTTTACATGTCATGTATTGGTCTATGCGCTGTGCACAGCAGCAGCAATATTCTGCTATAACCGACACGCGTGTTTGTCTGATTGCGCTATAGCAATATTTTATTTACAAAGATAAAGAAGGAAAACAACTTTAGAATAGTATCTTTACAACAGAGTTCTCGTTATTTCAGGATTCGTTAAAAGTGGACTCCACTGTATTATTGTTGTATTAATATCCCATCAGTAGCAGACCAAAGGCGGTTTTGTTGAATCTTTCGAACCTCATGTACCCACCAGAAACACAATTTCGCATTCATAGTATGCACGTTGTTTCCTGCTTTTTAAAGTTTCAGACTAAGAATAAAGAAAATAGAATGGAAAACAGCAAGCCTTCAAGTGTTGTCAAATTGGCAGAATGGCGTCCTCTAGGAATCCAGAAGTTCGGTTTTCAAAACCCTTTTAAAACTAAAATATCTCTTCTGCTTGATCAAATCAGCAAAAACAAGTAGATGACAGACCAAAATG